CAGGAAGGATTTGGCAGCAGAGACCCCTCGAAATGAAGCTTCGCAGCAGCCAAAGGCCTTCTGGCTATCCGCTTGTTCCTCTCTGAGCCTCCCGTGCTCTCCTCGGTGAAGTGAGAGCAGTCTCTCCCCCAGAGCCTGGTGGTGGTGGTTAAATCAGGATGTGGAAGCAGCTCTGGCACGCTGCCTGGGGCCTGGCTGGTGCTGCTGGCGCTGATAAAAGCAGCAGCTCCCTCCTCTCCTCTTTGCTTTAAAGATTGATGAGCACCTTCTTGCCTCTAGGGCCACCGAGGGGTGCAGGAGTGGCTCAGCTATGCAGAAGTCCGGACATCCCTGGAGGGTTTGAAAAAAAGGGCTTGGAGAGGAGTAAATAAATGCTTCAGGTCACCTGAAGGTCATGCTTCCCAGGGTTATCACACTTCTTGAAAAGACCTGGAAGCCTGGAAGAGTTCAAAGAGTAAAATGTCTGCCAGGAATCCAAAGAACTCAAGTCCCAGGAGTGGCTTCTGTTTGCCAAGTATCCTGGCCCCTACCTTCTGACCTTAGGCTCCCCATCTATCACAGGAGAGCATGATAGCAATTCTGCAATTTCTTGGGCTTCTTTCTGTATTGACCAGAATTTTGTTCAAATGGAATCTTAGAAAAGAAATGTACACAAAATCAATTAAAAAGGAGCTGTCATAGATGCAGTAAGCCCCTGCCCCACCCTCCTTAGAACTGGGGGCCACGCAGGCCTTGTTCCCCGGTCAGTGCACCCCAGGGCCATGTGGGAGCCGTGGGAGGAGGAAGGGGTACGAGCGACCTGTGGCTCATCCCGGCCCTGGGACCCCCCTCGCAGACCCTCCTCCCACAGGGAGTGACCTACCTTAGCGGCGTGGCCACATGCCCTCCCTCTGCCAGTACTGACCAGGAGAGCCCAGGGCTGGAGCGTGCACCAGGGGAAGGCCTGGCCCACAGGCGCAGGTCAAAAGGCCATGCGTGAATTTCGGCAAGTTATGTGACCTGGCCAGGCCCCCCGGGCATCTCCGTGTGTGGGAGGAGAGGTCCCAAAGCTGGCAGGCACCTCACGGGTGGCTTCCTGGGAGAGGGAGCGCTCTCAGTGGGCCTCAGGACCCCCAGAATTGGGGTGGGGGTGGTGAGGGATGGGGGCATGAGAGCTGCCTCTGTGCAGGGCCCTGAGCCCAGACATTTGCCCGGGGCACCCCTCAGAGAATCAGGGTTTGAGCTCAGAGGCCTTTGCCTCCCTGCGGGGTGGGGTGGAGGCTGGAAAGTTACTGTTGGGCTTTTTCCGGCCCTCAGAGCTGATGTTCCAGTCCTCATCAGGGGTTTGCTACACGACCAAGTTGAAATATGTTAGGATGAACGCTGTGCTGGGGGAATAGATACTCACAGAGCCAGTTTTGCCCCAAACGCTAATTTCAAAAGTGACCGGTTACCTTTGTACAAGCAGTCAGCGCTGCCTCCTATTCTGGGCACTCTAGGTCCCATTCTTCAGGAGTTCCCAGTGTGATGGGGGAATAGCAGTTGGGTGTTCCCGACTGCTTGGAGCAGAAACTGGAGACTGTAGAGGACACAGCAAGGTCAAAGGTCTGGAATGGCAAGGGGTATTCTAGAAGGTAGCCCCATTCCCCAGAGGTGGTCACAGGTGGCCAGGGCTCTCAGATTCTGGGCTCTCCGTTGCTCCTCCACCTCTATAAAAGGCTTCCATGAGAAAGCCATGAGCTGTGGAACTTGGAACGCCTCTCATCAACTAGTCCAGCAGCTTGGCACCTAAATAAATACACGTTGAATGAATGGACTGCACCGCTGCCTTTCAATTCCAGCCACAGGACTGGTGGAGGCAGATGGCTTCCCATCCCTCCCTGATTCAGCAGACACCTGTCAAGTGAACTCTGCCGGCTCCATGATGGGCATTAACCCAGAACTCGACAGCAAGCCTTTAGGGAAGGCACTCTTACCCCATTTCCCATGTGAGGAAACTAAGACCCAGAGTCAAAGCCACCACAAAGACCAATTTCAAGGTGAAGGGAAACGCACTCTGCCTTTCAGCCTGGGTCTCCTGGTTCCTAGTCCAGTAATGATCACGCTGGGTGTGGTGGGTGCAGCAGGGGCAGAGATGGGTGCCGTGTGCCTACCCAGGAGCAGGGCCATGCTCCTCCCCTGCATCAAGCATCCAGCCACACTGAGTGTGAATCCAACTGTGCTGGGCTCCCCATCTTCCCCTGCACATACTGTTCTGTCTACCTGGAATGCAGTCTTGCCACTGCTTCTCCTTGGCAGACTCCCTGCATGTCCTTCTCAGCCCAAATCCAGTGTCACCTCCCAGGAACCCACCTTTGATTGATCATCCCAGGTGAAATGACAAGTTTGTCCCTGCAGGGCTCCCGTAGTGCCCCAGATGAAGCTTGGATCACACCAGTTTCCCCCTTCCCAGTGGACCTGATGCTTTTCCTTGATGTCAGGAACAGGGCCGGGAATATGAATCACTGAGCCCTTTAGTAGGTCCTGATGCAACAGCCTGCCCGGGTGGAGTGCATATAACCCCGTGGTTGGGTGGGCAGTTTTTCTAAAGCAGAGTTTGACCTTGACAGGTGGCAGCCCGCACTCCCAGAGGCACAGCTGCTCGGTGGGGCCCCCAAGACTGACTTCAGAGGCCCAGAGACCCCTGGCACATCAGAGCCAGACTGAGATAGGGCCTGTAGTAATAGTACAGATCCCCCGCAGAGCCCTTCCTGCGGTGTCATTCAGGCAAGGGCGTGATTTTTACCAGATCCGTATATCATCTGTATCATTTTTCACTTATGTTTGTTTAAATTGCTGTATTCTAAATAATATGAAACCACAAGACTTGTAAAAATATTTTTGAATAGGTGATACATTCATGTGATACGAAGTGACAAAATGTACAAAAGGATGGAAAATGAAAATTTTTCCTTCTACCCTGCCTCTGCCACCCAGATCCCCAAGGTACTCTGCTACCTTTCTTGTACATTCCTTTAAATAAATAGGTATGTATATTCTCCCCCACCCCAGCCTTTTTTTCCTCCACGCAAAAGGTAGCATACAACACACTGTTCTGAAGCCTTGCTTCTTAATTATAACAAGAGGAATAGGCCAAACCTCTACCTAAAGAGCTTTCTTTTTTAGGTACCCTATTATATAGCTCTGCCACATTTCTTCGAATCATAGGTTTGCGTTGCTAGTTTTCTGTTTATTCTTGTGTGTACCAGGAAAATACATATCTTGAATACCATTAGTATCAGATGATGGCCAACCTCAAGGCCGACCCCAAGCTGATGCCTATGACTCACGGGCGGAAAGCGCCCATGTGTGGGCTTCAACAGCCACTGTCACGCCCTCCTGTCCTCGGGATATCTTCTTCCTTAGTCCCAGTGGTCACTCTGGGAGTTGGGCTCGGCTGGGCCCCTTCCCAGAGGAGGTCTGTCTGGTGCTCACGCCCCACTTGGAGCCAACAGTCCAGGGTCTGAAGACTCCCTAAGCAGTTGAGAAGAGGCTCTGGGAGTGCTAGGGTATGCTGGACAGGGTGGGCCGTGAGGGACCGGATTGAAAAAGGGTGCATCCTGCCAGGAGGAAAGCCCCACTGTCTAGGATGAATGACCAGAGTTGGGCCAGAAAGGGGCCATGGGAAGGGAGGACCCAGCTCCCACTCCCCACCCCCGGACAAGAAATGGGCTCTGAGCTCCAGCTGGCCAAAACCTCCTTCCTCTTTCTCAGCCTCTGACGTGAGAACCTTGGCTTTTGCAATCGTTGGTCTCACGGCTTCTAGAGAATGAAAAGACCATACTAGGAACGTGTCTAGTTAACACCTAAACCCAGCAATATCTGTGAGGATCTTGAAGTCAGAGCTGCTTCTGGGTTCTGGGAGGGGAAGTGAGGCCGAGGCCTATAGCGAGGCTGTGGCCAGGCTGAGGCTCTCCCCTCCGCAGGTACGTGTGGCTCCGGATCTGTGCCTCTACCCCTCCCCTCCAGTGCCAACTTCAGTGTGTGATGCCCCTGGTGAATACCCGTTGTTTCTTTGGCATCCCTCCCTCCCACCCCCAGGCTCCGTCTTTTCAGTCAGTTAAGAGCCTGCCTTAACTGGCTTCTTCATTTTACAAGGGAGAAAAAAAAAGTTCTCTCACTTTCTCTAGCAAGGCACCTCACTCACCCAGGCCCTCCTGCTGGCTGGCCTCCTCCCTGCCTGCCACCTTCCTGCCCTTGGCTTCTGGGAGACACAAACGCACCGCCCTTTTTCTGCCCCAGCCCTTTGCCCATTGGAAACGCCTTGACCCAGGACTCTACTCACCTTGTGTCACGTTACTTTAGCAAAGCACATTCCTGGCTGGTATGTCATCTGTGTCCAACAACCCGGGAAGCTCGTGGTCTCGGGATGGTTGTCCTGAGCTTCAGTCTGGTTCTCTGCAACCCCCTGAGTGAGTTGGAACTGGTCTCTGCCTTGGTGTCTGCTCTGTGACTAGACGCAAGGGTTTGCAGCTAACAGGGCTCGGGAAGAGTAGGGACGGGGATCTACCTGGTGGAATTCACAGCGCAAGGAAGTCAGTGGACTGGAATTAGAAGCCTGCATCTTCGGCTCCAAATCCAGGGTACTTCCCCCACCCATCTATGCTGCTCTTCCCACATCACTGGGCACCCCCTTGCATTGGGTTCCTGGGCCTCTTAATCAGAATCTGGGGCCACCTCAACCCCAGGATTCACCAGGACAGTGAGGTGAATGCCAGGCCCTGGCTTCAGAGAGAGAGAAGACCCTAATTCCCCTCTCCCCAGGAATGAGTCTGGCCAGCTCCGTGTCTAGAAGTTGGCAGGGCTGGTTTGGGCACCTGAGGTCAGGAAGTGGCCAAGTTTCTTGGCAGAAAGGCTGGTGTGGTGCCAGGAGTCAGGCAAGATATCTGAACGGGAACCTGCCAGCCAAGCCCTGCCCTCTAGTAACCTGGGCCCCAACATGCCTGTAACTGTGTGGGTTTTTTTTTTTTTCCCCTCTGCAGAAGCTGACGGGCCGCCTCATGCTGGCCGTGGGAGGGGCAGTGCTCGGCTCCCTGCAGTTTGGCTACAACACTGGAGTCATCAACGCTCCCCAGAAGGTGAGTGCTGTCCCGTCCTTGGCTTCTCAACACCAGCAGGCTCTGCTGTGCACCCTCACCACACCCCGCCCACATACACGCTCACCCTGCCTCTTGGATGTTGGAGACATCTCTAGCGAATATTCTGACCCTGAACGGGTTAGAGACTTGTAGCTTTGGCCTTGGAATCTTAAGGCCCACAGAGTCACGGGATCTTTATAGATCATCTCGACCAACCTCCCCCACAACATGGACATTTGTAGAACTCAGAGCCGTGCTCCATGTAGTGATGCATTCACATGGCCCTTGGGTTACAGAGGCTGCCTTGGTGATTCTCTCACTTGCTGCTCACACTGCACTGTAAGGCAGGCAGGCAGGTAGCCATGCCCACTCCCACCCTGCAGGTGTGAGGAATGGCCAGAGCCCGCCCGGCATCACCAGCTAGTCAGGGATGGAGCCAGGATGCAACATCAGTCTGCCTTGGTGGCCTCCTCTCCAGGTGGTCCCTGAACCCGTGCTCTCACCCGTCCACATGTGGCACACTCCCTTGTAAGGGAGCCCACTCTAGGCTGAAACTGCCTGTCTCCCTGCAGGCCCCAGGGCCAGGCATAGCAAAAATGGCTTCTTTTCCTAGGAACCAGGGCAGGGTACCTATCCGCTTAGTCCCTTCTCCCCACAACATACCCCAGATCTGTTCTCACTTGTTCACTTGAGTGTCCGGACAGGGAGGGACCCCAGTGAGAATCTCCAGCCTAGCCAGCCCACTGCTTTAGGGAGGAGGGGAAAGGAAGGGGGCCAGAGAGGAGACTGTGACAAGTCTCTCCTCTATACCAGACCTGCTGTGTACATTCATAACATCAGGCTGTGATTTCCACTTTATAGACCTGAAAACCACGGCTCAGTGCAAATGAAATGACCAGGAGGCTCAAGGTCACATAGTTAGGGGATGTGGAGTCAGAAGCTAAACTCTCTTGTTTACACAATCTCAGGCCGTCTTCCTGACCAACCACCTTGTCAGTTTAAAAGTCCATACCTTCCCCGGGCAGGACAAAATGAGAGTTGACAAGTCCTCTGAACACAATCATGGTCTAGATGGGCGAGGCCAGTAAGTGAGTGTGGCTGGCTTCTGAGGATCCAGGCCTGTTTGGGGGAGTGGGGTGGCGACCAGGAGTCAGAGTGGGGCCTCCTCCAAAGAGGCAGAGAGTAGCAGCGGGGGCCACGCCCAAAGCTGGGGAACAGGTCACCAGCAAGGCTGGGCCTGCTGAGTCACGCTCAGCTGCAGTGGAAGTGATGGGGCTTTTCCATGGGCGACCTCGGGCCCATGCTTGGAACAGTCCCAAGCCTGCTTTTGCTAAGTGCTCTGAGCAGATCTGCCGAGGTGTGTGCCCTGGAGTTGGCTCCCTTTGGGAATCCTTTCAGATACAAAGTGTGTACTGTCTAAAGAGGGAGGTTGAGTTCTCCACTTGACTGCACACTGGAGTCCCCTGACAACTCACCGTCTGATCTCATTGGTCTGGGATGCTGTCTGGGCATCAAATTTTTAAAGCTCCCCAGCTGGTTCTCATGTACAGTCAGAGATGAGCAGTACTGGGTTAAGTAATCACACTATGTCAGGAGTGATCACTTGACTGTGATCACATGGGGAGTTACACAGAGTGACAGAACTAGGACTCTGGGAGCAGGATAGAGGAGTTTTTCAGAAAGAGAACAGGTTTGTAGCAAGCAGGGGCCCACAAAGATGGGAAGAAAGTGCCCAGAGGAGAGAAAGTCTCTGTGTCACCAGGGTAGAATGGGAGGAGGCAGAAGGATGGGAGGCTGACGAGGTGAGCCAGAAGCAGACCACAGAGGGCCCTTGTGGTCGGCAGTTTCATATGCAGAATCTCCAGCCCCCAGCAGGGCAGGGCACAGTGAGAATGGGCCCGTGGGCACCAACGCGGAGGCCGAGCTGGGGAGGGTGGCCTTCAGGGTGAGGACAATAGGGTCCCATTGAAGAGGACAGAGCGGGTCAGATTTGCATTTTAGGGAAATGATTCAGGCGTCTGGTGCAGTGGGCTGGGTCTGAGAATATGAGACTGGAGACGAGGAAACAGTGAGAAGGCAGCTGTTGTAAGAGGGTTAGAAAAACAAACACTGAGTAGGAAGAATGGGCAGGAGCTGGTCATCGGTTCAGCCTGAGGATGGGAGAGTGGGGTTTAAAACTGGCTTCTAGCTGTGACTGACGTTGGGGCTGGAGGAAGAGCAGGTAGGTGCTGTGGGACACGCAGGACCTGAGGTTTGGTGACACAGCATACAAACACTTGGACACGGGGGTCTGTTTCTTCAGAGGGTAGCCAGGGGAAGAAAGCCAACAGGTGGGTCACTGGTCTCCAACTAGTGGTAGAGAAGGATCTCCTGGAGGGACTGTGAATAAAAAAGAAGTGAGGGGCAAGCCCGGGACAGCACCCCCACTGATAGAAGGTCCTGGGAAGGGGGAGGAAGAGAGCTGGCACCTCCAAGCTGGGAGACAAGACCCTCCTGAGCCAGAGAAAGAATGTAAGCGCCTGAGGACGAGGGTCCACGGTCCCTAGAGCAGTGCCCATCGGTAGGAACAGGCACTCGGATGTGGACAACTGAAGGAATGCTGTTGGGCTCCCGAGGCTGACCCGGGCACAGCAGCCAGTGTGGCTGAATGTAGAAGACCCGATGGTGGCCCTGCGTTGCCAAGGCTGATGGAGCGGAGTCCTGTGGGTAGAAGCCCCCTGCAGTGGGCTGAAGAGGGAGGAGGGAGGTGGGAGAGAGCAGAGACGGCCCTTCCCAGGGACTGGTGGAGAAGGGGGAAAGGAGTGGTCACCAGAGGGGTTGTGGGGCTAGGATTTTTTCCTTTTCTAATACAAAGACTTCATTTTTAAAGGGATTGTCAGGAATCAGTGGAGGAGAGGGTGAAGCTGGGGTGGGGGCTGGGGGTGGGGGTCCTTAATGAGGCAGGTGGTGGTGGAGCAGAGGCAGTGGGGTTGCACTTGGCCGGAAGGGACTAAGACACTTCTGAGGCTGCAGGTGTGGACAAACCCAGAGTGACGTCCTCCAGTTCTTAGGGCCTCCCATCTAATCAGCTACCGGTGAAAGGTGAGAATTTCAGTGGCAGACGGGCGGGACAGCGGGCAAGGAACCTGGAAGCCTAATGGGCAGCACAGAGGCCCAGTTGTAAACGTTCACGGGAGCACTTGCGGGCACCTGTCCAAAGGTCACTTGGGCAACCAGCCTCTGGGGACTCAGGCGAGAGACCTGAGTGGTGTTTCCAGGGGGCGCGTGCTCGGGCACTCCGCCTGTTTACTCTTGTGCTTTACAATCAACCTCTCATAAGTCTGGCTGTAGATTTTCTCAACCAGGAGCAAATGTGATAAACTTTAGTGAAGAGGGGAGAGGATGACACCAGAGTGGGAGATGACAGCAGGGCTCAGAGGCGACGGTCCTGCTTGGGGAGGCACCAAAGCCATCATCCTAGGACGGCACAGTGCTTCTGCCAACATCTTCATTCCACAGGGACGGACCAGCATTCCCGACTTGAGGCGGGATGAGCTGTGAACACAGCAGAGACCTCCTAGCCCTCAGGGAACTGCCTGACACAGGGTCAGAACTGGGCCCTGTCCTGCCCTCCAAAACCATCCAGAGGGCGAGGGTGGGGTGGGGTGGGGAGATTCCTTGGGAACAGCGGGAGTATTAATAGTGGAGGGCTCCTTGGTGCTATGGGAACAGAGAGAAAGGAATGACTAATGCTGGGGGTAGGGCTGACGGGAGAGACAGGAAGGGCTTAACGAAGGAGTTGGCAGCTGTGCTAGACCTTGGAGGGCAAACCAGCCCCAGGGGACAGATGGGCAGGAATTGCAGGCCTGTGCAGAGATGTGGTGGCGTGAGGTGTCCCGCTGACAGCCCACGCCATGAGGCCGGCCACTCCTGTGCAGAAGCTCCTCTCTTAGGAAAACTGCCACGCTGGCCAGGGTGGCCTGCTCACCAGAGGAGACCTTGCCCCACCAGAGGTGAGAATGCCAGTGCTGCTGTTAATTACCGGGAGCTCCGTCTCCCCTGTAAAACAGGCCCCAGAGGGCTTCCTCCTGGAAGTGGTTAATTAATCATAACATTATCTTAAATGTTTCCAAAGCACCTCCTCATAAATTATCTCCCCACAGTAGCCCCACATGGTGGGTGGGGCCAAGGTTATCTTCCCGCTCATAAAGGAGGCCTGGAGGCTGGGTTGAAGGCACCCAGGGAGTGAGACGCTGAGCTACAGATGGACGCCAGGCCTGCTGTCTCTCCCGGGGCGGAGGGGAGCATAGCCACAGAGAGGGTAAACAAACGAGCAAGGGCATCCTGACCACCACACTGGGTGGAGAGAACCGCCCTCCCCTCCCCAGATGGCTGAGCTGCCAGCAGAGATGACTAAAGGCCATTGAGGAACCTTGAGTTCCTGGCCGGGGGACAGTGTCAGGCAGGCTGAGGCACCCTCAGAAACCAGACCGTTTGGGCTGGAAGGGGCCTGGCGGGCCGTTGGCTCAACGTTCCTTGTTTGCCAAAGGAGGAACTTGGTCTAGAGAGCAGACAAGGTCTGCCCAGGACAGCCGAGCTTGGAGAGTGAAAGTACTTGCAGGCAAGACGGACTTCCCAACCCAGGCCCCAGGCAGCATCTCCTCCTGGATCCAAAGAGCTCTGGGCCCCTCTCCCCTCTGTTCATCTCCATTTACACAGACTCTCGCAGCTTATAGCTCACTGCACCAGGTGTTGTTCCAAATGCGTTAGAAATAGTAATTTAATTGTTACTTGCAATAACTCCATTAGGTAGACACAGTAACCCCTGTTTTATAAGAAACTGGGGAACAGAGATGTTAAGCAATTAAACCAAGAACTCCCAGCTAGTGATAGAGCTGGGATTTAAATCCAGGGAGCCTGGCTCCAGCCTGCGTTCTTGACCACCCGTAGAAGAAAAGGCAGTAGACGCCGAAACACTCTTACATGCCAACAACTGCTACCAGCTGCTCCTCCTGCTCCGA